GCTGCTCTAGGTGAATAGAAACCAATTGTATCTTGGTGGCTCCTTACTAGCTTTTAAGGCCCCAGGCAGGCACTACACAATGTAGTAGGAGGTAAAACAGAAGTACTGAGAAACAATATTAGGCCAATTGATTGGGATGTCCCTTGAAACCATGACCCTAAACCTCCAAACCAAGAAAACAAATCATAAGGGTACTTTTTGAAAAGAATGAAGTTCTATGCAGGTATCAGGTATATTTACCTAAGAACATCATGGTTCCTTGTTCACAATCACTGACTGAGAAAGAGACAGAAAAGTCACTTACCTTTCTTGAGGGCAGTTTCCTCAATCCTCTCCAAGTAATATATATTGAGCAGAGGTAAGATGCTTTGAAGTATTGGGCCTGGGAGGGCTACAAAAACCAAAACACAAATTTTATTTTTTCCCCTAGTGTTCCAAACATTATTTACCCTATTGGAAAGGAGAACCAAAGGGCAGACTTCTTGTTTGACAAATGGAGCCTATAGAAGCTATTCCAAATTATGATCCACTTATCTCAGCCACTTAGTTGGCAGCTGGAATTTCAGGGGCATATACTTCTTCAAGGTTGAGATAATCCCACCATGCAAACTGGTATGTTCATTTAGGAGCTGGTCAGTTCACCACTGCCTGAGCAGGATAACTGTTCTATATTAAGGATACAGATGTGTGGTAAAATGTCCTCCATAATTTGGGCCTTATTAACCTCTCCAGCTCCCTGCTCCGCCTCCTGTACTCTAGTCACAATCAACTACTTTTTTCCTGTACATAGCATGTTAATGCTGCTTTGTGTCTCTGTACCTTTGCTCATGCTGTTCTCTCTGCCAGAAATGCCCTTGTCACTTTAAGTATATCACATACATAACTTTCAAGTTTCACATATCTTTTATTAAGCTTTTCCTGACTGACTTTTCCACTCTTCCAGATTGACCACTTCTATCCTTTGGGCCCCCACTATCCCCTGAACTAGTACCTTCCTATTAAAAAAGAAAGATAATTAAGTTCTACCCTTAAATTCAACACATCTAAAAACAAAACTTGCTTCTTCCAACTCCCTAATTCTGATAGGCACAACTGTAGTGGCTAAAGGGCTTGGTCTTTATAGTTGACTATGACTTAACTGTGAATCCTTGGGCAAATTATTTAACCTCTTTAAGCCTCAGTATCCTCAGTTTTAAAATGGGAATAACTACTTTATGAGATGTTGTCCATTTAAGACATTGCTTAGCTAAAATAAATTCACTAATGTTGTCTATTATTCTTATTCTGTCAATAGCACTTCTGTCCTGCTAATAGGCTAACAGGTCTAAGATCTTGAAGTACACCAGATCTACGAAAGTCTTTCAAAACATCCATTCTCCTTTAATCTTTACTTGTGGAATAACTGAATCTTGATATATAAGAGTCTAGTATAATTCTTTGTACATAGTAGGTATTCAATTTACCTGCTGAATGAAGGCTTTAATATAGGTCACATCAACTTTCACCTGAATTATTTCAACACCCTAACTGTTCTCCTTGACCTCTGTCTCTCCCCATCCTTTGCTTGGTGATGCCATTCCCTCTTCAAAACCCTTCAAAGGCTTCCTGCTGTCTTCAAGATAGTCTAACTCCATAGCCTGGCATTCAAGGCCCTTTATAACATACCTTATCCTTTCTGATCTCATCTCCCTCTACTCACTCTTCTTTCTTATATAGCTGAATTTCCTTATTGTACCCTTTCCTCAGGAGCTCTGGTAGCATAGTGGCTAAAGCACTTGACTGCTAACCAGAAGGCTGGCGATTCAAACCCACCAGCCACTCCTCGGAAGGAAGGTTGGGCAATCCTACTTCCATAGTGATACTGCCTCGGAAACCCAAGGAGGGGTCGCTATGAGTCAGGGCCGACTCGTCGGCATATAACAACAACAACAACCCTTTCCTCACTTCCCCCCCCCCCGCCCGTCCCACTACACAAAACATTGGCAGTCTGCTACTTCCAGCTTCTCCTGGATGTCAGCTCTTCCTCCAAAATAGCACTGTTTAGCACACCCCTTACTTGTCCCTTCTCCTAAGAGGCCTTACTTGATTCAGTTTTCCTATACGAGTGTTTACCTGATCTAGGCCCATAGGAGCTCTTCCTCCCCTGTTTCCTTTCAGCCTGGTTGAGGGTTCATTCAGTAATAATAGTGCTGTTGCTATGAGTCAGAATCGACTAGATGGCAATAGGTTTGGTTTTTGGTTCAGTAGTGGAGGGAAGAAAGGGAAAGATTCAGTAAACTGTCAGTTGATTGTTGGCAAGGGGGACGACGATATACAGAAAGTGGTTTCTAGAGCCATTTCTCCTTACTAGCTTCCCCTCCAATCTGGTCCCCTCTCTTTAGTCCCCTCATCATCACAGGAATTCTCATCCCCTATTATCCACAAATTCCTCTCCTTTTTCTATCCCTCTTAAGCCAGACCTTTCTTGCTTCTTTCCAGTTCATATCTTTAATGCCACTCCTTCCCAACTTGGAGCCTCAACACCGAGTCTACTCTCCCACCTTCCAGCCAGCTTCAGTATCCCAGAAGCTCTAGGCTGACAAAGCCTTCTTCTACATTCCCCAGGAATTTTCTAAGCCCCCTAACCAGCTCCACTGGAAATTTTCTCTCATTCCCCATGGGTCAACCTGATCCTTCTCTTCAGCTGCCAGCACAGGGCTTCCACAATGCCCTCCCCCTACAGGCCTGAGGACTTCTAGTAGTTTCCTCCACTACACAAGGCACTTAGGCCTCTTCAGGATCTGTGCCCCACCCCCACATCACCAAGAGCCTGCACACTCCCCAGGGATTCTTTACTCTCCCCGGCCTTGGGGCTTATCCTACAGCCCCTAACCCTAAATTCCAGGGCCTCTTCTCTTTTTAACCAAAACCTCCCAACCAGTGACCTCAAACCTTCACTCCCGACCTGACCAGGACCTTGCTCCTGGGAAAGATTCCACCGCCACCCCTGAGGCCTCCCCGTGGAATGCCCCACCACCACTACAAGGCCCCAGGCCGGCCTTCTCTCCTGCCACCCCTTGATCTCCTCATCCGACTATAGCCCTGGCCTCTGGACCCCACCCCCTCACACCACTAGTCTGTCAGGCCCAAGGCCTCCCTTGTCCCCTGTGTGATCAGGCCTACCTCTCAGAATGCTTATTTTTTTCCTCTTTCACTCTCAACTATCAGCACTCAAGTCCCGGACCTGAGTTTCTTTCCCTCATCAGCTGCAAAACTAGGATCGGTGGTTCGGACCCCACAACCGGGCCTTCTCGCGCTCCATCAGGTTGGAGAGCTCCTCTCTCTCGTTACCCGGCCTGCTGGACTCCCAGGCGCAATAGGCCTACCAGTCTGTCTGCCCTTCCTAGTTCCTAATCCCAGCGCCCCGGGCCGCCCGTTTTTGCTGCTCAGTCTGTGCGCTCTTTGCGGAGGCCGGGCCCTTCATACCCGGCCGCGCTCGCGCCTGAGGCCTCCTTTCACTCCCATTCGGACTAAGGCCTCCTAGAGGCAACGCCCCCCCTCCCATTCCGGCCCGTCAGTCCGGGATTCCCAGGCCGTCATCCGGCCTGGGGCCTCCTTGACCCTTCTCGGCTGCCCATCATTCCATTCTCCCTCGTTTGCTAACCCACTCCGGGGCCTCCCTTCACTCACTCTCCGGCCCTTCCTCGCCGCTCGGGCCAATCCGAGTGGCCTCCGATGCTCCTCGCCCGGCCTGCTGGTCAGTCGTTCCATCAGTTTGCACTAGAGGCCCGGGTCGTCAGTTCGCTCACTTCAGCCCTGGGCCGTCAGAAAGGCCCCGGCACCCCGAGCCTTTCGGCCTCTCTCCCAGCCCCACTCCCGCGCTCTCCAATCCACTGGGTTGCCCCAGCCTATTGGCTAGGTCTTCGGAGTCTCAGCACCTGTGGTGTGTCAGGCGACTATCCCGAGCGCTCGGGCCGTCAGTCAAGTTCGGAGGTCCTGGGCCCAGCCTTTCTGCCTTAGGCCAAACATCTCGACCTCGGCCCCCGCCCCTAGGCAGTCGAGCCATCCCGGCCTGTCGGTTCTATATCCGACTCTGCTGTTCAGCAGCACAGCTCGAACGTCAGATCGGTGCCTACGGCCCGGGCTCGTCATTCCAGCCTCTCGTCCGGGCCCAGGCTGCTTGGCTCCAGCCCGGGCCTCCGGGATTCCCAGCCTCACCCTCTGCGCCCCCCAGCCAGGCCGCGAGTACAAGTCCACCTGCTCTTTTGGTCTCCGTTATTCTCTATCCTGTCCCACCAGTCACGGAATTCATTCTCCAGCCCGACAGTCAGGCTTCCATTGCCCCGGGCTGGGCCTCGCCCCGGGCCTCCCGGCCTCGCCCCCCGCGCCCCCCGGCCGCTGGGCCGCCCCCGCTCATTGCGAGGCAGCCCCTCACCCCGCAACTTACCCCACACCCCGCTCTCCAGAACCCCCATATGGGCGCTCACCGCCCGCCCGCACAGCTCGAACAGGGCGGGGGGAGCGCTGGGGCCCGAGGCCGAGCTCTTCGCTGGCGCCGCCTCCCGGGACGTGGCCTCCATGGTCGTTGCCGCCGCTACCTCACAGAACCAGCAACTCCGGGCGCGCCAGGCCTCGGGCGCCGCCATCTTGGGGAGGTGCGCGAGCCCGAGAGTGACACACGTAGACCGCCATCTTGAGAAGGTCAATAGTTAGGACGGCTTCATCCGTGATGTGGGTAAAAAAAGGCAATTATGATAAAGGAACGTCGAAGCAATCATAATATATCTCAAGTTTCTTAGAAACTCTTACTTAAAATAAAATATGAGACCAATATATTTGGGTATTTTATGGCTAAGGGGATATTTCTTGGCCAAGTCGCCTGTTGTGCAAATACCAGCCACCCCTACCTTTTGTCTTTGGCTGGTAGTACATGCCAATCCTAGCGGGTGTTCGCGACTACGATAGGTATGCCGCACTTCCGGCCAGATTACCGGATATCCGCTGAGTGACCCTTGCAAGTCCTTCTTGATCCTGAAGTAGAGCCTCAGCTGTTTTTGCTGCAGTTCTTGAATCCGGTACCGGACCCGGACATGGGACTGGAGGACGAGCGAAAGATGCTGACCGGGTCTGGAGATCCTAAGGAGGTAAGACAAGCTGTAAACGTTACGCTTTTCACTGGCCTGAGGTCCCAGACCTAGCCCGCCAAAACACGGCCGGGGACAGCTTGGGCATGGTTTCTTTCCAGGGTCGGGAGAGGGTCGTTCTTAAAGTCTTGTGAAGTAATAATCTTGGGCGAGTCAATGACTAGTCTTTTTCTGGGCTTCCTCATTGCATGAACACGATGAAGCTTAAACGCGATCGAAAATACCTTATCGACTAAATATTTGTAAAACATGTATTTCTACAGATAATATTTCTAGTCAGAAGTTCTGAGGCCCTAGTTTGACGGATTTGGGGAGCAAACAACTCTAGTCCTCACCCCAGCTTAGGTCATGAATCCTCATCACAAGGGGATGTTCAGTATAATTGTGTGATGATAGTGGGAGGTCTTTCGCAGTATAAGAATGCATATATAATAATAATAACCAGTATTTATAGACTGCTTACTATTCTAAGCGGGTTTTTTTTTTTTTTTTTTTTTGTACCAAGTCTTTTAATCTGCACCATGTTCCTGTGAGGTAGGAGTTAGGTGCTATTATCATTGCCTTTTTACAGATAAGGAAACAAGCATAGAGAAGTTAAGTATTTTATCTAAGGACACGCAACTAATAAATGGTGGAGCTGGGAATTGAACCCAGGCAGCATAGTTCCAGAGCAGGGCTCTTCGCTTCAGTATTACAGAGCTCTTATTTTCTATGTATTCCTTTGTTCTCTGGTCATTTTAGAGCAGCTGTTCTGGGCTTATGGATTCATAATAGCTGGAAACTTGTTTATTCCATAGTGATTTTTCAGTTTTATTTTCTGGTAAAGTGGATTGACAAGGTGGCTGCAACGTTGGGCCGAAACGTAAAAACGATGTGAGGATTGCCCGGGACAGGGCAGTGTTTCATTCTGTTCTGCAGTGGGTTGCCATGAATCCAAGCCACGAGAAGGCAACTAACAACAGTTTTATTTTCAGAAAGAAGTAGTGACTGACTTAGGAAGTACACCAAAAACTCAGAAGGGCTTCGCCACAGCAGTAGATGAGAGAAAGAAATAAGTGGTTATTGTCAAAATGAAGGCAACTAGGGATTTTAAGAACAATATGAAACTATTGATTTTTTTTTTTAAGCATGTGACAGAAGATTTTACATGAAGTAGTGGTCGATTTTCAGAGTTTTGCTTGAACTTTTTTCTCCAGAACAAGTCATGATATTTTTGGCACAAAATTATCAATATAGCATTCCTAATAGAGAAATGATATAAAAGGTCTTGTTTCTAGGATACTAGTTGTTTTTTTTTTTTTTTGAAACTTCAGTATGAATTTTTTAAAAAGAGGTTAAGAAACCTTGCTAATGAAAAGCCAGGATTTACATCCTACATAGCATTTAAAATGGACCTTTGTGAGAGTTAAATAGTTTGTGTTACATTTGAACCTACCCTGCCTCTCACTAACTCCTAGCTTGCCTGAGCTTTGGTCCTTTCCACAAAGGGCATGATAAAGAATGAAGTAGATTGTGTTGGGATGTTGAAAACATAATGGGGGATTGCTAGTTGTATTTTCCCATATACCTTTTCTTTGCCTTCTCCTAAACACGGACACCTGTATGCACTGGCAGACAAACACCTTTTTTCAGGGAGGTGGGAATGGTGACTATTTTTTTGAAAAAATATTTTAGTATGTTTTCAAAGTTTACACAACAAATTTATTTCCTATTCAACAATTTCTGCACAGATTGTTTAGTGACATTAGTTACATTCTTCACAATATGTCATCATTCTCATTTCCATTCTGGTTGTTCCATTTCTAGTAGTCTTGTTTTCCTGCCCCCTTTACGTCTTTGTTTTAAAGTAATTGCTGACAATTTGACCTCATGTAGATGATTTGTTTTTTCCCCCGATCTCCCATCCCCCTCATAAAGATGATTTTTTTAAAGAAGCACAGAACTAATGGGAAAAATTCTTTGTTTTTTTCACCAATCTTGGAAAAGTTTCAGTTTAAGATTGAAAGAGTATCTCTGGGCCATAGTCTCAGGCAATCCTCTAGTCTCAACTGGTCCAGTAAGTCTTGACTTTAAGAATTTGAGGTCTATTGCAAATTTTTCCCCACTCTATTACCCTGTCTCTTGTAGCCCTGATCAGACAGTTGGAACTGGTAGCCAGACATCATCTAGTTCTTCTGGTCTCTGGTTTATGTAGACAGCTAGTCCTATAGACTAGTTTATTCTCAGTGTTGGGTTACCGTCTTTTGTCTTTTGCTCCAAACAAGTAGATACCGGTATCTTAGATGGCTACTTTCATGCTTTTAAGACCCCAGACACCACTCACAGTCTGGGGTGTAGAACATAAACTTTATGAATTTATTATGCCAGTTGGTTGTCCCACGAGACTATGGTTAAATATATTAATTCTAACAGATTGTTGAATCTCTTCTATACCCCAGATTCATGCTTATGCTGATGCTTGCATGGGGATTTTTTTTCCTCCCTATAACATATTTTTATTACATTTCCTGGATATATTTTTCTGGACTGTTCTTTAGACAATGATTTTTCTTTTCTGTCTGTCTTTTTTTTTTTT